AACCGAATCGAATCGCAAGCTTGTGAATGAGAATCGAATCGAATCGTGAAATTTGTGTCAAAACCCAGCCCTAATGATCCACTGCTTGTTGCTCTATTATTGTGTGTCAGAGGCAATTCATTAGTGTTAATGAGCAACATGTGTGTCCTGTTACTATAGAGCAGTCAGTGTTTGTGTAGCTGACATCTGTGTGCGTGTGTTCAGACATCATCATGTCGTCTAACGGTGAGCCAGTGAGCTCGAAGGACATTAAGATGTGCATCAGTCAGATCCAGGACCTGATCGTGGTGCAGCTCAATCAGGCCGTGGCTAATAAACTGACCAGCTCAGTGGACTACCTGAGAGAGAGCTTCGTGGGTTTTTTTCCTTGAGAAAATTTGGCATGTGTGCTTGCTTGATATATATCCAAAATAATCAATATTGAATCGAATCGAATCGTGAAATTTGTGTCAAAACCCAGCCCTATTATTTTATATGATTGTCCATTGAGAAACTGTTTTCTATTGATATTCAAGTAGAAATAATACATTATAAATGCAATAATCACAATTTACGTGAAATTTTTGGCAGTTTTAGTAAATTACCCCTTACTGTATAGATTTGCACAGCATTTCAGAAAGAAACACACACACACACACATCAGTCACACAGCTCCTAAACACAACTCATTTTTAAAAATAATATTTATATATTTACTAATTATATGTAATTTATCTATAATATTTAAGCAATATACATGTTTATTGTGTAATAGTTAGTTGCCTTTTTATTTTAATATTCAATATTGTTTAATAAATATTTATTTTAAAAAAGCAATCCTTTTTTTTTAAGTAATATAAAATATGTTATATAATATATAGCGATATGTCATTTAGTTAATATTAATTCGTTTTTTAATAATTGTAATTTTATAATTAAGTATTTAAGTAATATACAGTATGTTTAATATTTAATTGTCAATTTGTTAATATTTAATATTAAATTAAAATTGTATAATTATATATATAATATAGTATTTAAGTAATACGCAGTATGTAACATACAGTGTATATATTATAAAGTAATATACAATGAAGATATATATATCTATATATATCCATATATGTAATGAAGTAATGTTTTAAATGTAATTGTGGTCAGATCCTGAACGCGGCGTATAACGTGGAGGTGACCTTCCACTCGGGCTCCTCCGTCACCAGGCTCTTCTGGGAGCAGATCAAGCAGGTAGGTTACCCAGAATGCCCTGCGCTGGCGTGTCTGCTGCGGCGGCTGACGCTCGTCTCTCCTCAGATCATCCACCGCATCACGTGGGTCAATCCTCCGTCCGTCTCGGCCGAGTGGAAGCGTAAGGTCGCGCAGGACGCCATCGAGAGCCTGAGCGCCGCCAAACTGGCCAAGAGCATCTGCTCTCAGTTCAGGACCAGACTCAACAGCTCCCACGAGGCCTTCGCCGCCTCGCTCCGACAGGTGATTCTGCAGCGCGTACTCCTTCTAGGTGCATTAGCAGACTCTGCACTTTAATCAGAACTTAAAGTGCTCACGCCATTGAGAAACACTTGAAAACCACAAGCCACTGTTTTCATTTACCTAGTGTCATGCTATTATATTTTTCTTAATATATTTTTAAGTACTGTTTAAATATTTAATTTTAACAAAAATAAGAATGATTATTTTAATTATTTTAATATATAATTTTTATTATTATTGAATTTGTCTTTTGAGTTCATTATTTTTTATTTACTTTAATATTTAAATTATTTTATATATTAAAATGTTAATATTTAACTTATTTTATCATTTACATTTTATATTAATATTTTATATTGTATTATATATATATATATATATACATATATATATACACACACACATTTATTTATTTGAAGAGTTCATTTGCAAAAACAGATAACTCAGTTTTTAACAATTTTCAAAAATCATGTTTTTTTTTAATTGT